AAGTGTCCCACAAGAGTGTCGCACAAGAGTTTCCTACAAGAGTGTCCTACAAGAGTGTCCCACATGTCCCACAAGAGTACAAGAGTGTCCCACACCACAAGAGTGTCCCGCAACAGTGTCGCTCAAGAGTGTCTCACAAGAGTGTCCCTTAAGAGTGTCCGACAAGAGTATCCCACAAGAGTGTCCTACAAGAGTGTCCCACAAGCAGGAGTGTCCCACAAGAGTGTCCTACAAGAGTGTCCACAAGAGTTTCCTACAAGAGTGTCCCACAAGAGTGTCCCACAAGAGTGTCCTACAAGAGTGTCGTGTAAGAGTGTCGTGTAAGAGTGTCCTGCAAGTGACCCACAAGAGTGTCCTACAAGAGTGTCTCACGAGAGTGTCCCACAAGAGTGTCCTACAAGAGTGTCCCACAAGAGTGTCCTATAAGAGTGTCCCACAAGAGTGTCTTACAAGAGTGTCCCACAAGAGTTTCCTACAAGAGTGACCCACAAGAGTGTCCTGCAAGAGTTTCCTACAAGAGTGTCCCAGAAGAGTGTCCCACAAGAGTGTCCTACAAGAGTGTCATTTGGACATATGTAGTTTTTCGAAGGTGTTTCCATTCGGGTTCGTGGGTTCCATCTTGTCTTTTTTCGTAGAGGTGAAACTCTTTTGATCTACTGAAAAGAGTCATTGGACCCGGACAAGAATCCGTAGGGTTCAATCAAACAAGTGTTCCTCAGGTGTGCGACACGTCGACTGGTCCCGGGTCTCCTTGGAAAGCAGGTGACAGGGGTGCAGGGCTGGTTGTTTGCTTTCCTTTGCTCGTTCAGGTTGTTGCAGGGGATTTTGAGCCTTTGCTGCACCTGAAGGGCCTGATTTGGTTCTGTAGGCTGAATCTTCCATGGCCTGAGCAGCCAAGCCAACAAACCAATTTTTCAGATGCTTTATTTCCTTTGCTTTGGCAAACATCCAGCTGCAAAGCCGCATTGAGATGTTGAAAGCCTTCCAACAGGCTATGTGTACAAGGTGCTTGTACTTTCACAGCAGCAGAGCATTCAGCTTGTTTCTGAAGTGTGTCACATATTTCGTCATGAAAACCAGTCAGTAGACTAGGCTGAGTTGTGGACTTGTGAACGAAGGTAGCATAGGAGGTATGGGGGATGGACGAGGGGAAGTGCACTCAATTCCTCTAGTTAGGTCATCGCGCCAGGTGTTCGGGGCATTTTTTATGTCGTGACACAGTCCGTTTGATTCCTGCTAATTTGGGTGGTATGGTGAGGTATTGCAGGCAGGGTGTTTCCTACGTATTGTGAAGTACGTGATCGCAGAAAGGGTGGAACCGTCCGGCGTCGGCGGTTCCAAGAGGTCGCTTTCGGGCTGCACGTTGCTGGCAACAGTTGCCTGGGACGAAGAGCAGCGCAAAAAACGCATTGGAGTAGCGTCCGCTTGCCTTTCAAAGGGTCACCCCCAAAAAACACGCAAGACGCTGCTTGGATAGAGATCAAGACCCGGAGAAGCTCAAGCCACCAAATTCCCACCTTTTACAAATGCAGCAAATACCGTTATGTGCACAGCGCCCTCAACACGTTGCTTTGCCAGTTCCAGTCCTCATGAGAGACAGTTCGGACGATGAATATGGAGGCTCTAACCCGCAAACTGTAAACCTGCTTCACGTGGGTGGCCCATTCACAGGCTTGGAGTGATTTGACAGATGTTTTTGGGTCACCCAAGGTCTGTTGTGACTGCCCGAAGAAGAAAGACTTGAACAATATTACTGCACATACAACCTCCACCAGTTTTGCATTTTTTTGCAGCCTTTTTATGCAGGAAGAACAAGTGTTTTGTGATCGTGCGAAAGATTGGAAATGCCACTGCAATATGTCGTGCAATGGACCGCTGAAAAGTGGATTTGTGTGTGTGTGTGTGCGGTTCCCGATAAGGCTCCCCTGAACATGCCAGATCTTGCTCGGGCTTTTGTTTCCCTGCATTATCATGTTGTGTTCAGTGTGAGAGCATTCTCAACATGCTGAGATAGGTCGACGTCTTCAGTTAGTAATTACTGTACATTGTACATACTGTATGGGTGCTCTCAGGCAGCCAAGCTGAGGTGACTTCAAGAGATGTCGGAAATCTGCCATCGGCCACGACCTGCCCGGCGAATGAGCGCGAGCACCGTGCCTGAAGCAGTCAGAAAGGCTCAAGATGAGCCTGGATTCTGATAGTGCGATGGTCAAAAAGACTGGTGACAACTTGGCCTCACGGGTGAGCTTGAGGTTACCGTCTACTTGAAGCTGAGTTTTTTCTATGTCAACTAATCCCTTCATAGGAAGTGCACAGGCTTCTACAGACTTGAGGTGGCTACCTCAACAGCTACCTTCACAGCGGTGGCAGCTGAGCGTGCCAAGCTCTGACAGTCTGGGCGTTCAAGAAGATGATCCACATGGGACGGTCCACACAATACACGTTTGGTTTTGGGCCAACTCATGTTTTTATTGAGGGCAAGGCCAAGGCATCTAAGGGCCTGCATGAAGATAAATTATTTCATAGCTCGACTCTCCAAGGGACAATGTACATTGACGGCCTTGCCATGCCAAAGATCAAACTCCCATCTCGCAGCTTTAAGGCCGGGTGGAGAGCTTTGGAAAACAGACCCCCCAAAAAAGCATGTTTAGAAAAACGAAAAGACAGTGAACGTGCTCGCTACTTACTTCTGGGTTTGATGGAGAGATCACGTACAGTGGTGCTGAGCAGGAGCAGGCAGTCTCTGAGGAATCGCAAAGATTTCCTGAACACTAAATTAGTGAGAAGGGTTCCGTCCACTGGCAACAACAAGTCGGTTTCAGAGTGAGAAGGGTTCTGTCCAAGATGAAATTCAGCCACTTCAACATTGCACATTCAACAGTCAACACGTTTGAGCGGTTGTTGAATTGGAATCGAAGTTGTTCTTACTGAGGGCCGATGCTACATTTGCGGTGAACGCGGGTTTCATTCTCAGACTCTCTGAAACGACGCAGTTTTCACCAACTTTTTGGTGTTTTGTGCTAGGCACAGCAAGGCCAACTGCCAGAGACGAAGCGACTTAGAGAGCAAGCCAGAGGCACGCCGACGGAGACGAATGCCATTGACGCTGCCAGTTCGGTCCAGTGCCAGGCTGTTGTTGGCTGTGCGGCAGGGAGTGAGATTCCGCCAGGAAAGAAATCTGATCCGTCCTTCTCAATGCACCTTCTTGCAAGCATAAGCCAGCTCTTGTTCCAAGTTCACCATGTGCTGCAGCGTTTCTGAGACATCCAATCATTCTTTTGAGCCGGCGCCTGGGGACCCGTCTCTTGCGCCATGGTTGCCGGCTATCCCAACGGCCCCGCTGCCCGTGTGGTGCTGGACATGAGATCAGACACCGTCACTCAACCGACCGAGGGGATGCGCCAGGCGATGGCGACTGCAGAGGTGGGTGATGATGTTTTCGGGGATGACCCCACGGTGAAAAGGCTGGAAGATGAAGTTGCAAAGATGCTGGGCAAAGAAGCAGGGCTTTTTGTAGCCTCAGGGACGATGGGCAATCTCCTTGCGCTGGGCTGTCATTGTTCAGGTCGGGGTGAGGAGGTGATTTGCGGGAAGGACTCGCACATTTTTGTTTACGAGCAAGGCGGTGCCTCGAGCTTGATGGGCATTGTCCTGAATACCATTCCGAACCAAGAGGATGGAACTCTTGACTTGGAGGAAGTCGCCAAGTACATTAAACCAAATGACGCACACTTTGCCACTGCGAGAGTCCTGGCACTGGAAAACACCAGCAACAAGCTGGGAGGCCTTGTCCTTCCCCTTGAATACATGGAGAAGGCAGGTGAGTTTTGTCAACGCCACAACTTGAAGATGCATGTGGACGGAGCCCGTCTATGGAACGCCGCAGTGGCTTTGAAAGCCCCTATCAGTGATTTGGTGCGACATGCGGATTCTGTGAATGTTTGTTTATCCAAAGGCTTGGGTGCCCCGGTCGGTTCAATCCTCACAGGTTCAAAGGACTTCATCGTTAAGGCCAGGAGGCTGCGGAAAGCCGTTGGTGGTGGGCTTCGGCAGGTGGGGATCCTGGCAGCTGCAGGGCTTTATGCGTTGGAACATCACATGAAGCGACTGGAAGAAGATCATGAGAACGCCGCGCGCTTGGCAGCTGGTCTCAAAGCATTCCAGTTGAATGTCCTTCCGGTACACACGAACATCGTATTTTTCGATATCGATGATGCTCCAAGCGTTGTGGCAGATCTTGCGTCCAGGGGAGTACGAATCCTGTGCACAGATGGGAAGAGGCGGTGTCGAGCTGTTGCAAACCTGCATGTTAGATCTTCCGACATTGATTTTTTCCTGGCACGGTTGGCAGATGTTATGGAGAAGAAGAAACCCTGATGTGTAATGAGCGCATCTACTTCAGAATTTCACTTGATAGAGTTGGCTCAAAGAAAGCGAGTCGGTTCAAAAGAGCAAGTTTTTTATTGCTCCAGTTGAGTAGATCCCAAATTTGTAGAGGCACCCTATCTTCAGTGAATGCATATATTGTGTTAACTTGCTGGAGATAGCAAGTTTGGTGCACTTTGGCACCAATATGCACCATTTTCCTGCACAGGTACACAACGAAGAGACCTAGTGAAAATTTGCCACAGTTAAAGGCAATTATAGTCTAGTGCCTGAAAAAAGTGATGCCAGGATGCCTAAGTAATGTTTGAGTTTTCGGAGAAGTAGCGGGGAAAATGGGAGCTCAGTCGAAAAGATTCTGCAGTACCTAAGCTGTTCAAATCTGGAGCACCTCCTGAGCAGACGCAAGAACATCGAAAGCAAGGCACCGATGTAATGTGTGTTGATGCGCAAAAAAGATCTCAAGATATTTGGCAAGTCCATTGATGTCCTTTCCGAAGTGGAAGCACCATTTTCCCACAACGCAGAGATGATATAATATCATATGTGATGTAATGGTTATGTAATCTGCCAAGTTATTTTTTGTTAATACTTCATTTTTTGTTAAGAAGGACGCCACATTCATTCCAAGTGCACCATGCCGCATGTCAATGCTGTACACGTACACTCAACCTCTACAATGTAGATCAATTCTCGCCATGAATGCCATGGAACTGTCCCCAAAGCGGGCCTGGCCTCATGTTCACACCTCTCTGGAAAGCATCCGGCGAAGCGGTCCAGGTCACCCTAGGACCGAACGCCTCGACTTCGCCGTCCTGGTCCTTGGTTCCGTCGCGTGCAAGTATTGGGCCTTCCTTCGAGCGATTCCGGGCACCAAGTGGAGCAAGTGTGCAAGGACTCCAAGGATTCTAAGGAGTGCCAAGCAAGCTGCGCGAGATTCGGAAGAAGTGTTGGGTGCCTTACATCCTTCCTTAGCAGCATCCATGAGAGATCTCTTGCAGGATAGTGATGTTAAGGTCTTGCTGATTGGAGCCAAAGAAGAGATTGGAGGAGTGAAGGGTGTTCCACTTTCGGAACCTGGAGCTGAACCCAAGTCATTGCGGGAGTTCCCTCACGACTGCTATGATGTGGTGGTGGAGGTGCAATCGGAAGAAGTTCGTTGCGCGAGTTGGGAGGCGGTGCAGAATCGTTTCTACCCACTGGGAGGACACTCATTCAGCCTGGCAAATGATTTCATTATCAATTTGGCTTCCATTGCCAAAGTGCTAAAACCTGGAGGCAAGTTCCTTTTCCTGTCCAGTGCAGAAAGGGATGAAGTGTTGCCTTTCTCCTTCCTCCAGCTGCCTCATTTGAAGTGGCAGATTCATCAGTGCTCGGGGTCAGCATCCGGAGTGTCTACCTGGTGCTGCACACTGGGCACAGACGATCCCTCTGCAGCCTTAAAACTCACGCCCAGTGTGGTCGCAAAGCAATGCACCGACGAAACTTCTCGCCGCAGATATTTCGAGGCCCTGAGGCCATATTTGCAGAGAGACGATGGCCGCTGGGTTGAAGAATCTGTAGACTTTCATGTATATATGTAATATATATATATAGATATATATAATATATAAATATATCGTATAATATAGTAATATATACATATATTACAAAATCGCAAGTGGACGGATCCTACCGTCGGCGTACGGGCACGCCTTTTCCTTCATGCGACCCTTGGTCCAAATGGCGGTCCCTGCACACCACGAGTGGAGCTGGCGTTCATGCCAAGATCTCAACACTGCTTATACGTTCTTTCTAACATCGGCGAACAGTGGATCTTCTGCCAGCTTTGCATTCAGGCCTTTCCATCAGGCCTTGAAGATGTTTCGGGTGCTTGTGCCAGGAATGAAGTCACCGATCACTAAATCAGCCTTCTTTTCCTCCAGGTCCGTGTGACGCACATAGCTGGCCAGGTCGGCCAATTCACCACCTGCCGTGCTACGGCGGGAGCGCGCCCATTTGAGGTATGAAATCACCTCATCTGACTTGGAGCGGAAGAGCTCTGCATAGCTCATGCCCTTTCCCTTAAACTTCCCAAAGCGGACCTCAGTGGAGCCACATTGAGACAAGCTCAAAACTCCCTCTGGCAGGAAGGAAGCTGGAGGCTCTCCGGCAGATCCTGGATAGGGAGACGGCAGCATCTCCTTGACATATGCTTTGCTGTTCAGGGGACTCTCATCATCCTCTTGTTCATCTTGGTAGACAGCGGCAGCTTATCCTCACCAAGACGCTTGGAGGCATCAGTCATGTGGCTGACCATCTCAAACTCTTCATCGTGGGAGGTTGGTGACAATCCCATAGCGGCTTCGGAGTGAGGCCGTTGCGGCCTGCCTTCTCGAGCAGAGCCTTCGTTTGAAAGGCGTCTTCCGGGGTCCATGCCATACCGTCAGGATGACGACGAAAGCTTCTCCACAAAAAGGCTTGGAAAAGGCTGCGGTTTGCATGAGGAATTCGAAACAAGGCAAAAGAGGAGTGGAATGCGCTGTGCAAACTCTCTACAAAATAAACCGTATGACTTTCACTTTCAAGCATCTAGTGATTCTCACGAACCTTCCCCCAACCTGATTCAAGCACACTAGCTATCTTGCTCTGGAGTGACAAGTTCTCAAAACAAAATTTCACAAGCTGCTTCGGCGCACGCTTGCAAGGCATGATGCCTTCGTTTCTGCATACGAAGCTCTCGTTCGGCAGCCAGAACATGTTCCTCTGGGGATATCTGGTAAGTGCCACTTCTGAGGCATGCTCTGAGTAAATCTACAGGATCTAACTTATCCTTCTTGGTCAAGCATCGGCCAACATCCTTTGGTGGGGAGCCACCTGATTGAGGCACACATGCGTTTGATGGATTCACGGATGATCGCAATGTCAATGCTGGTTCTTCTATCCTCTACAGCAGTGGGTGATGAAGGAGACACCAAATGATCATACAGCGATTTACAATCAGTAGCAAGAATCGGTGGCCTGAGTTGCAATCTTGTCAAAAACTCACGCGGCTCGAGGTGGCCATCAAGAGCTTGACGGTGCCGGTGGCTGTGGACATGGCTTGACTTTCTCCAGCCATGGTTGAGCTCACTGCCCGTGGAAGTTTGTAACTCTTCCAACAGGTTGGGGTCCACCACGAGATTTGCCTGTCGTTGAGGCTTTGTTCACGAATGCCAAAACATAACCAGCTTGGGTGTGTGTGTGTGTCGGTTTGCGAACGCTGCGTCGGAGTGACAACAAATATGCAGTTGATCCGGCGGAATCGGCTGGAAATGAATCTTAACACCCTTGTGTTGCTTTACCCTACGAATGGCATTGTTGGCTTCTCTAAGGTGCTGAATGGTAGGTCTAGGAAACGCTTGCTGGCTCATGCTAGTCTGCGCTGCAACATCAGGCCTTGAGTGGGAAGCTATCCAATTGCGGCTACCATTAATTGCTCGAAGAACACGGTTTTGCTGTTCAGGGAGAATCTGGTTGTTATCAGCCCCCTTTGGAATGAAAGCAGCGCGAATGTTTTCTGCAAATGTTTGTTGTGACATGCAAATGGCTTTAGTCTTGGGGTCTTGTACATAGAAGGCTCCACAAAACTCTCCTGATTGGACTCTCCTTTCGGTGATGGAACCGGGATTTCAATCGGGAAACTGCTTGTTCAAAGCTGGAACCAGAACCTCCGAGCCTCCGAGTGCTGTGTCGTCCACATGAACACCCATGACACCCACCAGCCGTGAGCCCTCTAAGGAAGTAGAGACATGGGTCAAAGGCAGAGCGTGTCCATCGGAACTCAGTGGCTGCCTGATCAAAGGCACGATGACGTTGCTTTGCTAATGGTTTCATGTCATCATGACTGATCAAGAGGTGAGTGGCCTTCTTTAGATATTTTGAAGCACCCGGGAGTCGAAGACCGTACTTACACATGTGGCAAAGAACCAACTCATGTTCTTGAACGGGTGCCTTCACTCCTGGGTATGACCACAACTTGGAGCCCTGAGGGTGCTCGAAAACGGCTCGTTTGCCTGAGCTCACCTGCTGTTTGAACAAGTGGCAACAAAAACGAGTGTACAGGCGGCTCTGAGCAATCCTTCGTGCCAGTTCGGCTGCGTCCATGTACATAGCGTTCAAATTGAACTAGCCACCTTCGTCCGTGCAAGGCGGACAAAGAACTAACAGATCAGGTGGAGTTCGCCCCAGTTCACTCAAGACCTCTCGCCTGTCGGTGGCTCGTCGGAAATCGAATCCATTGAGAAGGTCATACGACTTGCTAGCAAAGCCCATCTGTTCAGCGATCGGGCTAAAGCGAGGGGGTGAAAACACCTCACAGGATGGTTGCAAAACCGGCTGAACATTCAAGACTTCTCGAACGGAGGCCTCCAACTGACGGAGTTGGCGCGACGTCGACTTGCAGGTTCTCTTCCTGGGGTACATAGTGAAAGTCAGTCCGACACTTCATGACATGTGGCGGCAGGGATCTAACATATTTTGCTTTACCAAATTGTGGCTGGATAGGCTCATCATACAGCACATCTGGGGTAGCTTCATCTGTGACGATCCATGTCCAACGAGGTCCTTGCTTGCCTAGTGAGGGAACCTGCGAGCAGAACTCATCAACTCGACTCCGCACGGCTAAAACAGGCACGTCCTGTGAAGGCGAGGCGTACAAGTTGAAGTCTTCACGCTCGGCTCAGTGGAATTCGAATGCTCACAAGAAGGCTGCGGCTTTGAGCCATCCCCCAACAACATGACCTCGGCAAAACTCTCCGTCGGGACGAGCGATCCAAGGAGATCGACTGTGAACTGGCCAGCTTGGTTGGTGGTCAGGCGAACCACGGTTCCATTGTCAAATACGGTCAGCTCACACTCACACTCCTGGACACAAGCAGAGGGGCTTGTCCTCCCTGAGCGTCCTCCCAGAACGACTGGAACACGGATGGGCTGCTGAGCGGTCTCTCTTGCCGTACTTGAAATGGTTGACCTCATCAAACGGAGCTGGAAGGGTCACGTCACGGGCCTTCCAGAGCTCCATGAACTCAGCCAGGGTGTCGGCCCCGATGATGGGCCGGCCACTGTCGCAACCAGAACCAAGCGCACGATAGCCTGGAGAGCTTACCAGCAGCTGTTCCACACTGGTGTCAGGAGTGGGAGTTGGTTTCTCCCTCACCAGCTGCAAGGACAACCGCGAAGTGGATTGACTGCTCACCATTGTAACGAAATCCTCTTCGATCACCATGGCAGCAGCGTTTTCCTTCCCCTTTGAGGCTTTTTTGAATGAAGAGCCCTTTGAAGAAGTTCCCTTGCCAGGTGCCTTGCACTCTCGAGCCCAACGACCCACGGCGCCACACTTGTTGCACTTGGTTCGTCGTTTCAGTTCCTCAATTTCAACTTTGAAAAAGCGACGAACATCTTGAGCCTTTTTGAACTTTGTGGCGCGTTGCAACTGACCCATCTCCTTGCGGCGTTCACGCCACGAGACAGCTAGAGCCTCAGCGACATCTGGCTCATCATAGGCTTCCAATGGATCTTCTTGTAAGGACTGATGCTCAGCGTCAAGCTCAATGAACTCTTCTTCTTCATCACCCACGCGGCCCTCATCAAGACCAGCAGTGGAACCTTCTTCAACAAGGGAAACTGCTGTGGTACGGCGCTTGCCCACGATGAAGTCGGGATAGCAAGATCTCATTGCTCGACCAATCTCTTCCCTCTTCAACACTCCGAGGGATCGGGCGAGGACCACTGCTTTCTGTTCGTTGGTCAGTCCAGACCGACGCAAGATCATCCAGCCTCTTGCTTCTTCGGGGAAGCTGACGTTCACCTTACGATGAGTTCGGCGGCGCGGGAGACCCAAGCCTTGAGCGATTCTCCTTTAGCAGCTTTCAATGCAAACACTTCGGTGAGCACCTCCGACATCTTGTCCGAAGCATCTTTTTGAGGAAAGCGCTGATCTAACAAATCAAACAAAGTCTTCTCTCCATCTTTCTTTTGGTATGAGGAGGGCTCTGGGTCTTCCACGCGCTCCAATGCCTTCCCTGACAGCAACGTGTACACGTAAGCGCCGCGGTGTCAGGCATCTTGTCGGCTAGGGTGAGGAGTTTGTTGGTGACCCAGGCCTTCCATCTCCTCGGTAAAGGATTTCGCCGCTAAAGGTCCTCGGTGTCGCCGCTAAAGGATTTCAACCCAGTGGAATCTGAAGAGCTGGTCATGGCGTTCACGCCTACAATCCAGCAACGGGTTCCCACCCTACCGGAGCCCTGATTTCAGGGTTCCGCTACCAGTTACAAAATCCCAACTGGACGGATCCTACCGTCGGCGTACGGGCACGCCTTTTCCTTCATGCGACCCTTGCACACCACGAGTGGAGCTGGCGTTCGTGCCAAGATCTCAACATACATATACTGTATATATATATATATATAGATAATGTTTACACATAGACTTTGGAAATGGAACCAAATTGGAGCTGAGCATGGGCGAATCTCTGGGCACTCCCAAGTCACCCGCGTCTTTGGAATCACCTCCTGGAGAGTTGGAAAGCGTTTTCGAACGGGTCTTTTGCAAGCGCCATGAGCCGTCGCGAGCCAGCTTCTAGTGCAATTGTTTTTTTCGTTGTCGTTGCCCCTTTACGTCTTGGCAGGAAAGATCCCTGAAATCCTGGACTATGGCTGTGGAGATGGGTCTCTCATGTCGTGGGCCTTCCAGCCAGAGGTGCTTGCAGAAGATGGTCCTCGTGAGGTTACCTTGGTAGAATCGAACCAAGAGCTGGTGGAAAGGGCACGACAGAAGCTCCCGCATGCAGATGTCAGGCTCATCAAAGAAGGAGCGGTTTTAGACAGTGATTGCTGCTGCAATTCACCGCGTGATATGTACAACATCTGTGAATCTTGCAAAGCCAATCCGCTGGCTTCTTGGTTGTTTGTAGACTAGTGAACTGTCACCATCAACGAATCAACTCCTATAATATATAGTCAGTAATAAACTCTTGCTACGGATTGCTATGGCCATGATCGCCTGTAGACGGTAGATCCCTTGTGCAAGGAGAACCCTGGCCCTTTGAGCATCAATTTGACCTGGTGATACTTGCATTCGTCTTGCATCATGTTCCTTTGCCTGACAGAGCTGCCCTCCTGGCAGAGGCAAAGCGTTTGGGGCGTGTGATTCTGGTGTTGGAGGACGTTCCAGATGAAGCCTTCACACCTGCTGCCTGCCGCCTTGCTTGGCATGTAACAGAGGAGCACGGTTGGTTTTCTTTTCTAAGAGTTTCTTAGAACGAGAAAGTGCAACAAGAATGGGAGTGCGCAGAATTTCTTCGACAGGAGCACTTCAGACCGTTTGGTCAAGATCCTGACGACTACATTTCGGGAGTTTTGTCGAAGAAGAGATGGACAACATGCTTCGGAGATGCTGGGCTAGAAGTTCTTGATGAGACACTGGTCGCATCAAGCCTGCGATATCCAGTTCCACATGTTTTGTATATACTAAAGGCGAAAGAAACGGTTGATATCATAATTTGTATTTGAGCATATTAAACAATATTTCATTTTAACAGTAGAACTTCTTGAATTGTTCAATGCAAAGATTACTAATTACTAACAAAATACGATCTGGCCTCACCCAGAGCGCGCGCCGAAGACATTTTGAGGCTTCGTGTACTGTAATCGTGTTATGTTGGCCAATGTTTCTAGGACTACAAACGAATGAGGGTCAACAACAATGAGTATTTTGGACGTTTCCAGTTTTGGACTTCGCAAAGCAGTCGATTATTCTGGACATCTGGACATCCTAACAAGGGTTGATAATTTTTGGAAATGTGAACATCACTATTTTTTCTAAACTTGGAAATCTTCAAAAGCACGTTCTTTGGTGTGAGTTGAGTTGTGTGAGGTGAGTTGGCTGAGTTGAGTTGGTCTGAAGTCAGTTGGTGTGAGTTGAGTTGGTGCGAGGTGAGTTGGATGAGTTGAGTTGTGTGAGGTGAGTTGGGTGAGTTGGGTTGTGTGCTGGGAGTTGGTGCGAATTGATTTGATGGGAATTGAGTTGATATAAGGGGGGGTTGGCATGAACCGAGTTCATAGAACACAAACAATTATTGCATAAAACGGTGGCAACACCATTCTGGTTTCTCGGTTGCGTTCGCGCCGAAGGCCACCGGAGCCTCAGTCGCGCCAAGAGGAAAAGATCTCACGTCAGTCCGTGTTCTTGAAGACTCGTTAAAATTTGCAAACATTGGGGCGTTGTTTTTGGTATTTGATTTTTCCCAGATAGCGAAGCTATGGGGTTCTTACTTCAAATAACAATGAGCTGCCTTTGCGCGCTTTCGAGACAGGTTACTGCTGGTGCTGGGCGCCGTGGTGCTCGGTGCTGGTGCCCGCTTCTGACAGTGAAGTGATAACCACCGCCGCTTCTGACAATGAAGGGTGACAAACCGCCACTTGTAGCAGTGAAGGGCGACCAACCGCCGCTTCTGACAATGAAACGCCAGCAGTCATGGGCCGCATGAACTTATGCGCGCAACATCATACGGTGTTGTCGCTGAGCGTTCACTTTGAGGATCCAGTCGTCGTTGTGGCAGCGGCAGTGGCAGTGGCGCTCATCCTCGCGCACTCAGTCGTAAGTGGGTAGTAGTAGTAGTAGTAGTAGTCGTAGTAGTCGTAGTAGTCGTAGTAGTCGTAGTAGTAGTAGTAGTCGTCGTAGTAGTCGTAGTAGTCGTAGTCGTAGTAGTCGTAGTAGTCGGAGTCGTAGTCGTAGTCGTAGTCGTAGTCGTAGTAGTAGTAGTAGTAGTGGTAGTAGTAGTAGTAGTAGTAGTTCTAGTACTAGTAGTACTAGTAGTAGTTAGTAGCTAGTAGCTAGTAGCTAGTAGTAAGTAGTAAGTAGTTAGTAGTTAGTAGTAGATAGTAGTAGCTAGAAGTAGAAGTAGAAGTAGAAGTAGAAGTAGAAGTAGTAGTAGTAGCAGTAGTAGTAGTAGTAGTAGTAGTAAGTAGTAGTAAGTGGTAGTAAGTAGTAGTAGGTAGTAGTAGGTAGTAGTAGGTAGTAGTAGGTAGTAGTAGGTAGTAGTAGGTAGTAGTAGGTAGTAGTAGGCAGTAGTAGGTAGTAGTAGGTAGTAGTAGTTGGTAGTAGTTAGTAGTTAGTAGTTAGTAGTTAGTAGTTAGTAGTTAGTAGTTAGTAGTAGTAGTAGTAGTAGTAGTAATAGTAGTAGTAGTAGTAGGTAGTAGTAGTAGTAGTAGTAGTAGGTAGGTAGTAGTAGGTAGTAGTAGGTAGTAGTAGGTAGTAGTAGGTAGTAGTAGTAGTAGTAGTAGTAGTAGTAGTAGTAGTAGTAGTAGT